AGGACTAAGGGTATAAAAGCTGGGAAAACCAGGAGGCTGGTCTCTCACCATTTTGTAAGGCTGTCTGGAACCACAGCATTTATGTCTGGGTGTGGACTTTTGAACACAGCTGTGAATGGGAGGGGGGCATCTGCTTCTCTGTAAATAAACCCTCACCCCCAAGCTCAGTTAGTAAGTCAATAAACTTGTTAAGGTTCTTCAAACTGGGGTTTGTAGAATTTTTTCCTCAGGCTGTCGCAAGGTCGGTGGGAGGAGGGGATTGGATGCCACGTGCGCCTCCCAGCAGTGAATTTGACTTACAAGGCCAGTGCCAAGGTACAAGAGCATCATCTAGGTGGTTAGATTGGCTTCTGTCTGATGGGTGTAGGAAGGAAGCAGAAGGTACTAAGTGCTGTTCTTTACCTGTGTGAATGGAGAACCAGATTCTTCCAGAGCCTCAAAAGAGACCATAGTCAGTCAACACCTTAGATAAGAGATCCCAAGAGCCTCCCACTTGGGAGGCTGAGATAGGAAGACTGTTGTGAGCTCAAAGCCAAATTGGGCTATGTCATGATTTGGGGACCAGCCTGGCCAAGAGTGAGACCTTGTATGAAAAAACAAAACATAATAAAAAAGGACCCTGAACAGAGAATACAGTTGAATCAGTCTGCTTCCTTGACCCACAGAAAGGGTACCATTATAAGTTTGAATTATTTAAAGCCTCTAAATTTGGTAGTTTTACAAAGCATGAGAAAACTAATGCAATTTCTAAAGATACTTAGTTTTGATAATACCACCCTTGTTTTTATAGTTATAACTTCCATTTGTGTTGACAAAATTCAACCTAAAGAGTGGTGAGACTTCCCTCACCTCACAGGTGGGAATTGGATGCTCTCTGTCTTGAGTTAGCTATTTTACTACCATAGATGACACACTTGTATCTTACCATAGTAACAGTGAATTTAAATGGCTTGACTTCATCAAATATTCTTGATTTCTCTTGGTAATTGTGATCATGGCTATCACAGATTCTTCTATTCCATACCATTCTTGATTAGTAATAGGAACTCCCAGATCATACACTATACAGCACTCAATAATACACAGGACACAGAATGGCTAAGAAAGGGTTAAAGAGAAGACGGCCTTTTCAGAGAGTTGACATGGACACAAAGAGAGTCACTGCAGGTTCTTGGATGAGATACCGTATCTGATTATGAAGTTGCAGGAGGCTCAGAACAATGAATGAAGGTTCAAGGATCAGAGCTGACTCAAAGTTCCATGGGGTCTAATCAAGCAGGGAGATCATGCTGAGCCTGTGTGAATATTATTGCTTGTCAGTCCCATGCTGCACTCTGAGAATGGCCTGATGCCAGGTTGGGTGCCTCCACACCGTGTCCAGATGGTGCAGTTGCATCCTTGTTTGGTCTGGTGTATTGCTAAACTCATGGTCTCTCTGAGTCTGACATGATTTTGATATGCTCTGGTGCCCATGTTCATAACTGACTTAAGTTCTTATTTGCACAAATAGTTGTCCATCGGTCCAAGTCTCCTGGTTTGTTTTGGATAGATAATGATTTTTTTCACTTGCCTGAACAAGATACAGAGTCATTTTGCCCTAGCACTGCTCTCAAAGTGGAGCGAACTGCTGCTTTATGAAATGGAGTCTGGGTAAGGAGAGACCCCATTCTATACCTTACAGAATAACTCAGTGCATGGCACAATGCTCTGATCACACTCCATTCCAGATGGACCAGACACTTGTTGGAAAGTCTTGAAAATGGCTTGCTGTCCTTGTCCTACCTTTCTTCACTTCACACTGCAGCTTGAAGTCTGATTTGCAGGGAGATCGTTCATTAACAGCCCTGGATTGGATGAGGCCACTGTTCTCATGGATCCTTGGAATCTTGTCCTTTATATAGCACTTAGCAACAGTCATGCATTTAACTCCTATGTATTCCACTGTCTCCCTGAATACACAGCAGTCTTTTAAGGTCATTGTTTTGATGCCCCTTGGCTCCTCTTCCCTGGATTTAGACCAGAGTTGATTCTGTAAATGATTTTGTCCTTGGAGAAACAGGGCTACTAATAAGTGTGGGACTGCTCCAGGAGAAATTAAGGAAACATGTAATTGTATAGGGCCCAGCAACTAATGAACTGTACAGGAAATACTAGCTATCGGTTTGCTGTAATTTCTCATTACTGCCATTCATGCACGCCTACCTGTGGTCAGGCCGAAGAATAATTGTTTTCTCTTTTGCAATCTCTGCCTCTTTCTTCCTAGAGAGGAAAACAAAAGTTAAGCTGCCTTAGTGTTTCTTGTTTTGAGTTTCAGTTTAGTTTTTTTCTGTCGCTGGAGCCTAAACTTCTCAAAGAATTCTGTCTCTAAGCTGTGGCTACTCCACAACTCAAAAAAAGAATTCCCAATTAATTAATTCATCGTCTATTTCAGCCTGCTTCACCTTCCAGCAACGGGTAAGCAGCTTCTGGCTTTGTGTGAGGGAAGCGACCTGCTTGTTCTCATGAGTTTCAAGGTGAAATTGGTACCACCTTCTCTTTCATTTGTTGTCCTACTTTAATGAAAAGCTCACATACTGGTAGCTATAGGAAAAATGGACCCTAATCTCCAAATTTTCTATCAGATTTCAACTACGATTTGCTTTATTTAATTAGAACTTTTAGAGAAGAAAAGCATTGCATGTCAAGTTAAAGCAACCTATGATTCTTTCCTCTCTTCGCTTCTTTCACGGAGGGAAATTTTGTCCAAACTTTGGTATAAATAATTGTCGTGCTTATTTTTATGCTTTTACTATGTGTGTCATGTATATAAATAATGTCTGGAACTGCTTTGTGTTACCATGTTATATAAATGGTATCATGATTAGTTTCTCATTTTCAACTTGCTTTTTAAATGAAAAATAATCATTTGAGCTTTACACATGCCTAAAACACAGAGCTTGTTCAGTTTCCTCACTACTGTCTGACAATGCACAATGGAGTTCTATTTAGCTGTAAAGAAAAAATGAAATATTGCAGGCAAATGAACACACCTGGAAAAAAATACACTTAGTGAGTTAGCCCAGGCCCAGAAAGACAAACAGCACTTGTTCTCTCATCTGTGGATCAGAGCCTTTAGTTTTACATGTTTAACGTGATGTACCTCTGAAGCCAGGAAACCAACTGGAAGAATCTCTGTGACTGTCACCTCTACAAGCTTCCTCTTCTATGTGCTTTTTCTCTTGATTTTCTACGCTGTGGCTTTGCTCCTCTAAGTGTGTTTATGATTAACCGTTAGGCATTGACTGTTAAATGTAGAGACAAGCTGAAGTCAGAAGCATGGCCTCTTCCTCCAGGTAAGGCTCATTTACCTTCTGCTATGCCACTCTCCACACTAGAAATCCTGCTCATCTGAATGAACAAGAATCAGGACGCTGGAAATGAAAAACAATTCTGCCTGCTTCTAGTATATTCTTAACCCATGACAGGTAGAGAACGCCTCCAAAGCATCTTTCTTTTGCACTGTAAAGAACAAATTTTGTCCTCCTACCTCTGTGCACCTATGAGAAGCTTTGCTTAATTTCTTAGCATCTCAGGTGGCTTTTTGATGTGTGTGTGTGTGTGTGTGTGTGTGTGTGTGTGTGTGCATAAGTGCAGCACATGCCATAGCACACGGTGGAGATCATAAGACAACCCCCGCAGTCTATGCTTGCCTTCCATTTTGTTTGACTTTAGTTTCTTGATGTTCACTGCTGCACACAGCAGACTGGCTTCTCGGGACTCTCCTGTCTCTGCCTCCCACCTTGCTGTGGGAATGCTGGGATTACAGATGTGTGCTCCTATGCCTGGCTTTACAGAAGTTCTGTGGATATGAACCCAGGTCCTTGTACTTGAGGGCTGAGCATTCTTCCTACTGAGCAATTTCCCCAACTTCTTAGGTGCCTCTTTTGAAGTTGATAGATGCAACTCGGGGAAATGTACTTCGAAACTTCAAGTTTGCTCCTCTGCTTTAACTTTTCCAAATCTTAGCAAGTAACATCATTCTTTATTCCCTTCTTGTCTCTCTAATTATTTTGTATATGTTCTTTTCAAAATAAAAATAGTTCATACCATATTCCTATTTTTTTCCATTGAAATAGCTAGTGTGGTGGTGAATGGGTCAACTGTCACTAGGGGACTGGCAGATCTGTTGGTACTGTTCATAGTCCCATCATTTCCTTTGTGAACTATTTTCTGTATCAATTTCCATCTCTGTCCATTCGTGGGTTGATAAACTATAGTTTGTGAAGCTTTCATTGGCAAACAGCTATGCTTATTTGTTTAGATATCTAATTAATTTGTTTTTGTTATTATAATGAAACATTTCAGACAAGCTAATTTTATAAAGAAAAGAAGGTCATTTATTTCACAGTTCTAGCTATCCAAAAGTGTATTGCTCATCTACAGTGTGTGTCCTCTCGACTGTTTTACACCAAGGAGGACTGCATCACTGTGGGATCACATATGTGAGGAAGAGGCTACGTGGCCAAGCCAGAAGCCAGACAGCCTAGATGGTCGCAGGCTTTCACAACAACCCTCACCAAAAATAATCAGGATCCCATGAGAAATACCGTAACCTCTTACAAAGGCATGCCTACAAATTGAACTAACCATTTCCCATGAAGATCTGCCTCTTTATGGCTCTGTCAATAGCTCATTAAGGCCAAAGCTTCCAACTCAGGAACCTTGGAATGAACCACACTCAAACCACGACACATATTATCTATGACCGTTGTGATTATAATGTTAAATTTTAATGCTATTTATCATTTTAAAATTATTTATTTTTCATATATACCTGCTATTGTGCCATTTCTATATATTACATTTTGGCCTTAAAATCTTAATGTGTTTTAATTGGGTGAAAGGATAATAGAACTCGCTTGAGTTCTTTTATTTCTAGTATAGTCTATTATATCTAGAAATATGTGCTTCAGACTGCTTTGCTATAATAGCCACTTAACTTACATGTATTTGTCCATCAGTTACAGAACTATGTCAGTGACAACCAGATTGACACGGATGCAGGAACAGAGCCTGCGAAAGGTACTTGGGAATGCTTCTTTGACTCTTCTTTACACCTCCAGTGTCCACAGGCCTATCCCTCGTGATATGGCCGAGAAGTGTACACACGAGGGACCTTCTATGACAGCGATTCACTTGAAGAGAGCTATCGTGGGTGTTTTTATGCTTGAAAAATTTCCCATTTTGTGCTCTAAAAAGCCAAGTACTTGTCTCTGGTTTTCGTTTGAAAAGAATAATGTAATTGAAATATCAACTTTACTTCTGAATGCAGTAGTAGAACTCAGTGACAAACACCTGAATTTTTTTTATTTGATTATTGTTTACTTGGTGTGGATCAAAGTAAAAACAATCTATATCTACATGATATGATAATACAGACGTTAAGACTTGGTTTCACCCAAGTCTCTGAATATTTGGAATGTGAAATTTTTCGAGTTGACGGTAAGTATCGTAGACTAACCTGTATCTTCACTGTGGTTCTGGTTTTCATTTCATAAGTTGCAATAGATCTATGAGCTGCTCCGGAAGTGTAGGCTGCAGAGAGGAATGTGAGGAAGGGTGCATAGAGACAGGAAGAGGGAAGGGAAGGGAAAAGTTAGCTGCCTCGGAGGGAGAAGAGGCAAGAGTTTTGACTCTAAGGTCAGCCTCTAGACCTAATTATTCTGTTGTGTCCTGCAAAGAGATTCATTTCTGCTCCTCTTTCTCTCACCGTGCTGCTAATCTGAGCGCCTAGTGGGAAAGCCCAAGTCTGTGGGATGCACAAGGAGACTCAAAGTTCTGTTTAGGTAAATGTAGCCACACAGAATCACACAAGTTGAGGAGCTTGCTGTGCTGTGCTTATTTTCTGTAGGAATTAAGAGTGATCCAGGCTTCATAAAGAAGATGGTGACAGTCAAACAGTAAGGTAAGTCATTCATTTTATTTAGATTAATTGTATTAAGAGTGTTGACAACGAACTGGTAAGAAAGATAAAAACCATATTACTTAGAATGATAAAAAACGAGTTGCTATTGACATAAAATATTCAAGGTGGTTTATGATGGTGATAACAAAGCCGGACCGGCCATGTGTCTGTCTCTGATACATTTGATGACAGCTGTTCAATTTGAGCTCAGGTCTCATTCTCAACCTGTTGGATCCAATGAATCTTGGCAAATATTTTCTGTAGTCTGTCTGGTCCTTTCCTTGAAAATCAGTTTTTGGGGAACCTCAGTTAATGTTAAAAACAAAACTCTCTAATTTATAGATTGCTACAACAAATATATTTTGATTTCTCCTTAATATGCTTTATTGAAAACAATCACTTATCTTTAGTGTTAATACTTGTCATTAGACTTGTGAGGTCTAATGCTAATAAGTTAACAATGTATTGGTTATAGTTTGGGGTTTTAGTCCAATATGGATAAATGTGTTTTATCTAAGCACAGTATACATAACCTGGGATGTTTAAGGAACGTTGGGGGGATTTTTATATGTCATATAATGCTTCTTTGGTGTATATTAGTATTCTTTTCTGCAATGTATATATATTTTCTTTTTTTCTTTTTTGAGACAGGGTCTCTCTGTAGCCCCAGCTGTCCTGGAACTCACTATGTAGACCAGGCTTGCCTTGAACTCACAAAGATCCGCCGGCCTCTGCCTCCCAAGTGCTGGGATTAAAGGTGTGCGCCACAATGCCCGGTTAATTACTATATTTTTAATAGGTACAGAACAAATGTCTGAGCAGCTCTCAAAGCCTACAGGTCCTGTGCAAACTTGCTGTCAGAATTTCTTATACTCTTGGTGGGTCCAGTAGGATCTGTAAAGTCCAGCTTTTTCAATTCAGTGAAGTCTGTTTTCCAAGGCCGTATAACTCGCGAAGCCATTGTAGGATCTGATGAAACCAGCATTACCGAGCAGGTAAATTATCTGAGGATTTGCTAAGAATTTTGATTCACAGGTTACAATTAATGTATCTGTTCATTTTATTTCCATTTCTCTCAAATGTAGGTCTCATCCTAATCTACAATTAAATGGTGAATTAAATTTAAAATAGGAGTAAAATTTAGTTAAAATTAGCTCCCTTGAATAATATTATCTAGAGAAGCCTTTTGTTGTTATAGATGCAGAAAAGCCAGGTGTGGTAGTGCATGCCTAGAATCAAGAGGCTGAGGGAACCATTAAAACATGAACTAGTTTCTCTTCTTTTTGTCTTGAATGCTAAAGAACAAACTTTAACACAATACTTTTTTATAGTACAGGACATATGTTAAAGATGGAGAAGATGGGAAATCTCTCCCATTTATTTTGTGTGATTCAATGGGGCTGGATGAAAGAGAGGAAGCAGGACTGTACATAGATGATACCTTACATCTTAAAAGGCTGTGTACCAGACAGGTATCAGGTAATATTTCTTCTATTCCAAGACATTTTAAAGTTTTCCTTGCGTTTTTACCTCATAAGACCATTGACAGCCTTTGTGTGACTCCAGTTGGTCAATGCTTCTTTACTTTAAACGAATACGTCTTGTCTGTACTATTGAAAAACCAAGAGGTAAGAGTCTTCTTACCTGGATTCCAGGACAGGGTCACAGGGCTACTGTGTTTTTATGACTCTTTGTGACAATGTAAGCTAACAGTAAAGTAGTTTAATCAATTCAACTGGAAGTAGCTTAATTTTTTACATTATTTTATATGTATATATATGCGCTATTGGAATAATTACTGTCTGTTGAAGTGTAGTATTATACCATAAGTGCTTGGGCTTCGCTACTAAATACCTAGATCCAAATTAGATATGCACCAATTGAAGGAGTTTACACAATCATCTCTAAGTCTTTTTTAAAAAATTACATGAAATGTAGAAATTGCTACTGACCATCTCCTGGAGAGATAATAGAAAGTTGTTTGGACTATTCTCTATGAAACAGAAATCTGTGTATACAGATTACATAGGTAACTTCTCTTCTGCTAGCAGGAAGTCTGATGGCAGACATCTTGGGACTGCTGTGATGACTTTCTGAGGTTATTAACTTCAGAAGTCCCCTTTTTTGGAGCATCCCAGCATAGGGCGCTATGGACTGAATATTTGATCCCCCCCAATTTTATACATTGAATCCCTAAGCACCAATGTGATGTTATTTGAAGGTGAGAACTTGGGGAGGTACATACATCTTCCGATTGGAATTCTGGTGGAATTAGTGTGCTTCTTAGAAACCACAAGACAGATAGTCCCTCTGTATCATGTGAAGGCACAGGGTAAGGATGGATGTCTGAAAACACAGCCAACAGACACAAACGCCTCTTGTACCTTGACCTCAGACTCTACCATCTCCAAAACCGTGAGAAATAGATGTTTTCCGTTTAAGTGCTCACGACTATGGTAAGTTTATAGCAGCTCTACCTGAGGAAGATGTGCCCCCCATCCTTATCTCGTCAAGGCATTCAAGGCGTTCGAGTGAGCACAATCAGTCTTCCAGGCAAGAGGAAGGGGGATTTCATACCCGTCTCTAGTTTCCTTTACATTTCTAGTCACTGTCATAAACATTTAGATACAAATTAATCTCATTCATTTATCTCATACCAAACAAGAAGCCAGTCCGACATTGTCTTTCATTGATGCCTCTCACATCTTTACTTAATATATATGGTGATTCAGGTTGTGCCTTCTTTAGGCTTTTATTTTTCCTGTCAATGTGTTTATTTATTCCTTAACAATACAAACATAATTACCAAACTTTAAAATAATTCAGTTACCACGGATATCAATTATTTCTCAATATGATTCAGGGTTCGCCTTTATTTTTCTTGACAGTTTTCACACATACACTTTTGAGATGATCCTGCTTGTGTTTTGATTGATTGGGCTTGATTTATGGTTGTTTTGAGGGAAATTGTTATTAACACTTCTTCCTATAAGTATCCATAAAAATTCGTGGTTTTCTATTATGTAAGAAAATACAGAGGAAACTTCTACAGATATGTAGTTCCTCCGTTTGTGCAGAAGTGCAGTCCTGTGACTTCTGAGCCAGCTCGTTTGCTCTATGAATAGTCCTGAAATCAAGACACAGTGTAGAGCTGTCTTGTGCTTGTGCCACTATCTCTGTGAGACAGTTCTTAGTCAAGCAATTGCTAGTTCAAGAATAAAGATATCGGGGCTGGAGAGATGGGTCAGTGGTTAAGAGCACTGGCTGCTCTTGCAGAGGATCCAGGTTAGATCCCCAGCACCCACATGGCGGCTAACAGTCATCCAGAACTCCAGTTCCAGGGGATCTGATACCTTCTTCTGTCCTCCATGGGCATTGCATGACATGGGTGCACTTACACACATGCAGGCATAACACTCATACACATAAAAATAAAATAATAAATAAATTAAAAGAATAAATATATCATCCTTTCTAGAGGCAGATTTCCTCCTCACTCTCTGAGTGATGATTCCAACTTTCTGAATGCTCTGGCCTCTACTTTTGCCCACGCTGTTTACCTAGAGCACCTTCTGCCTTACCTGTTTCTTTGAGAAAAACTCTCCCTGTCTATAGCCTTCAGATTACATGTCCCTTGCTCATTTAAGCATCAAACTATATGGAAGAACTGTCAGGTATTTCTGTAATGACTGTCTTCTCCATGAGGTCTTCAGCTTCACATTATTTGTGTGCTTTGCTCAACATTTTGTTCAAATACACAGAACTTGGTATATCATGCATGAATGAACAGATTACTTCTCGTCTACCTTACGGTTTAATTCCATGAAACCCATCACATCAAACCATCAAAACTACATTCATCACCCACTACTGAAGGACAGAATTCATTGTGTGGCATTTGTGTTTGATGCCAACTCTGTTGAACAGCTCTCTTCTGCGCTAGTGGAAAAGATCAAACGAATTCGAAGGGAGATGATAAAATGTGGTGAGTCTCATTCCATTTTGTTACTAAGCGTAACTGATTAGATTTTATTGCAGAATTTTGGAGGCAAGATGAAGGACTTCAGTGACTACAAATGTGAATCTTTCTGGCTCATCATCATAGTTAAATGCAGTTGAACTTTCAGTAGTTGTATGACTATGTACAAGTGACTTAAACACACCTCACCTCAACATCTTAAAATTGCTGAAACAATACCATCTACCCCGGAAGATATTTTAGTAAGGATTAAACAAATTGGAGAGTAATAAAACCCTAAGCATGCACTACTCCTATATTTTGTCATGTATTTGCTGACTAAGAGCTACATACTTCCTATGGGGCCTTAAGGGCTTTGATGATAGATAGAAATAGTGTAGTAAGAAAAAGAAGTAAGATGCTTGATATGGAGAGAGCTGGAAGACTTTGGAGAAGGTAACAGGCTCAGGTGTCCCAGTGCCCAACTCTGGCTTTTCTTGGCTTTAGCCATTTCTGCGGGGAAAAAATATTCAATTTATCACAAATTTAACTATGAAGCAAGGGATGATAAACTTGCCTGTTAACTGAAATTTAAAAGTCTTTCAAGCATTCTGTGGAGGGAGGTGATGCTAACGTTGTGGAACAGGAGCTGCTTGCTTACAAGCTCCTGATGGCTTCTGTCTCCTTCTTGAGCCTCTTCTAAGTGGTTTCTTTTAGAAGTTTCATTTCTTACCTTGGAAAGCAATGACAGGGACTTTTCATGCAGAGAAAAGTCCAGAGATTTAATTCTGTATGTATTTGAGGATTGAATGTGAGGGAAATTTCCAAATCCACAGTTTCCCCATAGATAGCCGGTTGCTAAATCCATTGTTTATTACCACACATATCTGTAATAATAAAACACCTTATATCTATCTATTTGACACAGGCAAGCAGAATGTGGCTTTGCTCACTCATGTGGATAGCCTGGATCTGATTACAAAAGACGACTTGATAGACATTTATAACTGTGAGCCTGTGAAGCTTAAGGTAATGAATGATGTTTGCTGTGGATGGTTCTTCGGGGAATGTAAAATACATAATATTAAAGTACCTGTAAAGAAAAGTACATAACTATTGAATTGAAGAAGAATTAAAATAGTCACTTGAGTAATTAGAGCACATTTCCCAGGCTTAAAAATTAAATAGACACTCCAGAGCATGGACCACATCCAGGAGCATATGAGAGGCATGGAATGGAATTGATAGGCCTTTAAAAGATAAAATTTTAAAATAAATAAATAAATAAATACATAAAAATAACTGGGCATGATGGTACACGGCTTTAATCCCAGTACTCAGGAGGCAGAGACAGGCAAATCTCTGTGAGATGGAGGCCAGCCTGGTTTACATAGTGAGTCCAGGCTAGCTGGGGGCTACAGGAAAACCCTGCCTCAAAAAATAATAAAAAAAGTCTGCTAGGTGTGGTGGTGCACACTTTTAATCCCAGAATTCTGGAGGCAGAGGCAGTCGGATCTCTGAGTTCCAGACCAGTTGGGGCTATGGGGAGACTGTCTTAAAAAACAAAATACACACACACACACACACAGAGAGAGACAGAGTTAAGCTCTCTCTGACCCCTTATCTCCTTCCAGCCACCTCTCTACTCCTCTTAGCCAAGCCTATTGAAAAACTGCTCTTGCCATGTTCACTCTCACATTGGCTCAGGAACACAGATAGTGAAGACAATTCCCTTGTACTCAACATCTTATGATTTTATAGATGGAAGTGAGGAGACAGGACAGCAGGGTTGGCAAAAGCAGACGAAGGAAGCAGTTAAAATAATATGCCTCGAAAGTTTAGAGAAGGGAATGGCTCAGGGAAAGATTTCACTGCCAAGGTGGCACTGCGAGGTCGTGTCCAAATAATTTAGTAAAAGAGACCAAAAGAAGGAAAAGCAGTTCAGGCACAGGGAATCCAAATGAATATATTAAAGGAAAAAAGGCATTAAGTCTCAGGAGCACAGAGTTGCTGGATGTGGTGGACAGGTGCATCTTTGGAGGGGACATTTTGACAGATGCATGAGGTGATGTCATGTAATTTAACGATGCTGCATCCTAGGGAATCATAGACTTCAGTAGACAGAGGAGCAGTACACGGTCAACACTAAGGTTCCTGTCAATTAACATGCTTGGAACTGTGGGGAGTATAGGTTGGAGGTAGAAGTAAGCAGAGGTGTGAATGCCAGTTCTGAGAATTTCAAGATGGCTCCTATGTATTCACCACTAAATATTTGATAGATTTTCTTATTTCTCAGTTTTTAAAAGATTTGTCAATTTTTTACTTTGGGTGTGTTAGTGTTGTGTCTACATGTATGTAGATGCACCATATGCACGCAGTGTGTGCATAGGCCAGAAGAGGGTATTGAATCGCTTTGAACTGGAGTTACAGATGGTAGTTAACTACCACGTAGGTGCTGGAAACTGAACCCGGGTCCTATGCAAGAGCAGCCAGTGCTCTTAACCACTGAGCATCTCTCCAACCCTGATCTCCATTTTTTAAACAATAGGAAAATTGTCACCAAGCACTTATTTTTCAGTACTGCCTTCGTAATTTATACTGGCATTAGAAGTTTCACTATGTCAAGATACCTGAGGGATGTGTGCGTGCATGCGTGCATGCGTTCGTGTGTGTGTGTGTGTGTGTGTGTGTGTGTGCGCGCGTGCACATGGTCAAGTGTGTGTGGGAGAGCACAGATGTGTGTGGAAGCCAGAGGCCAGAGTTGGATGCCTTCTTCAATTGCTCCCTACCTTTTGAGACAGGGTCTTTCACTGAACCTGGAGCTCACTGTTTGGCTAGACTGGCTGGCCTGTGAGTCCCTGTCCTCCTATGCACCACTCCCAGGACTGGCTTTTTTAAAAAAAATGTGTGTTTTGGCGGACCAAACTCTGATGTTCAGGCTTGCATAGCAAGCACTTTACGGACAAAGACATCTCCCCAGCCCTGAGATGTGTGTGGAAGCCAGAGGCCAGAGTTGGATGCCTTCTTCAATTGCTCTCTACCTTTTGAGACAGGGTCTTTCATTGAACTTGGAGCTCACTGTTTGGCTAGACTGGCTGGCCTGTGAGTCCCTGGTTCCTCCTATGCACCACCCCCAGGACTGGCTTTTTTTTAAAAAATGTGTGTTTTGGCGGATCAAACTCTGATGTTCAGGCTTGCATAGCAAGCACTTTACAGACAAAGACATCTCCTCAGCCCTGAGTTTTAATTTCTATATTTCAGCTGGAGGCTGTCCACAGAGACTTGGGCTTTGCTCTCTCTGACATCTTTGTGGTTAGCAGTTATGTCTCATTGTGGCAGCTGGACCCTGTTAAGGATGTTCTGATACTCTCGGTGCTGAGACAGATGCTGCAGACTGCAGATGACTTCTTAGAGGACTTGCCTTTGCACGAACAGGAAGATGCATCTGGTGATGTCCAAGCTTGAAAGTGTCAGCTACTGGTCAATTCCTGTCTGGATCTTTGCACACCTGGCAGGTCTACCTGTCGGCTGTTGGTCTGTGATTAATCCTACTCTTTAACTCACTGGCTGGATGCATTTTTCTCTTTCACATTCCTGTCCTTCCTGTGTTTTCCCCCAGTATGTCCTGAAGGATGTAGTGCTTTTCTTCACTCTTGTTTTATTTTAAAATGAAAACTTTGAGATGATCCACCTTTTCCACTGCCTGTAAATCCCAGGCTGTGTCCCTGTCCTCTTTGCTCAGACTGGCCGCTTTGTTTGGGACCTATAACTGGATTGTGTTGACAATCTCTTGTCAGATGTGATCTTTGATTACTTGTCTCTTCCTTGGGACCTAATGCATCTGATATATTTTTCATATAAATACATGATTTAATATCAATATAAAACCTAGGAACCACAAAACATAAGGGAAAAACATATTTGTCTTTTGAGACTGGCTTAATTTGCTTAATAGCATTATCTTTAGTTGTATCTATTCTCCTGAAAACAACATAATTTTGTTCTTTACTGCTGAAAGAAAGTCCACTGTGCATAGATACCACATTTTCCCTATCCATTCCTCTGCTGTTGGACACCTATGTTGCTTCCATAACTTCGCTACTGTGAATAGTGCTGTAATACACAAAAGTGTAAACATTTCTGTGACAATTTTGACTTGGTATTTTTGGCTTTTCCCCTTTATTTTATTTCTGCTTCATCTGGTATGGTCCCTTGTAAGCAAATATCTACTTTTTTTATTATAAGGACTGAAAATTTGTCCTTAAGAATATTCTGTTATCAAATTGTATATGATATATACACTGTTGCAATCAGAGGTTAAATAGATACTTCAAGTTATTGTACTCAAATCTTATTCCACATCTTGGGAAATGCAATTAGAGTGCTCTGTGCCCTCCATTTCCTGCGTACTCTGAAATGCTGGCTTGCCACCTGACTCTGCCGTCTGGGCTTCTCCCTCTTTCTCATGGTGCACTAAGCCAGGATGATCGAGGTCCTCTGGTGACCTTCTACTTCCCTTCCACCAGACACCCACTAAGAGTATTTTGCTTCTCTTTTCTTGAGTGTCAGAAGGAGGGATGAATTCCCAAGTGAACAAAAGAAGAAAATAAACAACTGAACTCACGATACAGTATTAATTTTATCTCATTAACTCAGCAGATGAAAACACAGGGGAGCCAGGAACAGAGACTAGAGTGAATCTTAATTAAGGCTAGGATGAAGAAACATCTACAAAATCATAGTCCCTACAGTAAACAAGAGTGTCAGGACAGAAAATTACTAATTACGGAAATAGCTATAATTTCTTTTGGATTTATATTTCATAGCTATGAAAAATAAATGTTACTTGTTACAAAACCCCGTCTTACTCAAATCCTCATTATTTATTTTTAAATTACTGAGCATCTTGGGAAATGATCTTCTTTACCTTAATTTGCCTTCCTATTTCTAAAGTATTTGAATTTAATCTTTTTGAGTATCTACTTTATGTGTTTTTAACCCTTTCTCCAGGATGTTGTGACTAATATTAATGAGAGTTCCACAAGAGTAAATTTGAAAGAGACTCTACAACTTGACCTCTACTATTGTGACTGTTTTAGTAACACGTGACAAAACTCAACCAGGACTACGTGGACAGGAAAGATGGCTGTGATGTTGGCTCAAACCATAGAGAAGCCCGATTGTCCTGCCTTCAGAGGCAATTGAAATTAGAGTCATAGAAGCTTCTCTCCATGGCCCCCGCTATCCCCTCCCCTTCCAATCTTCCTTTTCACACGCTGCTCATTCTCTTGAGCTCTTCAGGATTAACACGACACATTGTCAATGCACTTTAAAAGGGACTTGCAAAATTTTATTTAATCTAAGAAGTTAAGAATGACTTGACGTCTTTAAATATTTTAAACTCATATAGAAATTTACTGTTCACTTTTCTATTTTAGTGGTCCAATTGTTTGATTAGATTGTCCTGAATATTAAGTGATTATTATGGATCTAAATTTATCCATATCTTTCCCAATAAGTGAGAACTCTTCCCAGGTATGTCAGGTTGACACTAAGGCTATCCAGCACAATTGACCCTTTGTCAGTCTGACACACAAAACACGTTACTATTAAATCACAACTTTCTATTTCTTCACCCCAAGATATGATGTTAATATTAATATCACAATGTAAAACAGTACAACTTTAAGAGTCCCGCTGTCTTTAAAAAGTTCAAACACTTTAAAAATTCAGTCTCTTTAAAAAGTCTCTTCTTAGCTGTGGACACCTGTAAAATCCAAAACAAGTTCTGTATAGTTTGATTTTGAAAAGGAAGTACTGGGCACATTTAAATAAAACAAAGTGGGAGGGTGTCATCTGGGAAGTGGGTGTATAGATGAGTAAGATGGTTTGAAATGTTCTGTGTGATATACACACAAAAAAAAATCAAAAAATTTTGAAAGTGAGTTATAGTTGAGGAGGAAGAATAAAAATTTATGTCATGTTAATTAGTAGAGGTGTTAAACATTATGATTGGAATCTACCCAATGACTTTATAGACATACACAGGTGCCAAGGATCCAAGT